AACTTCTATAATTACGTAAAACGTCATCTGGCAGCCGAACTATTTTCCTCCATCCAGCGCCACGCTACGGATAGATTACTATCGTCTGTGTAGTATTATATATAAATTAGGTACTGTACATATAATTATATATTAACTTAATTTATTGTAACTTTATTATAATTATATATATGCTTTCCGCTGTCTAGCTACGGAGATTTTACGCCAACTATCGTCTGTACAGCATGTAAATTAGGTACCTTAAGTCTAATACAGTACTGTAATTTTATACATTTCTTGTGAAAGAAACATTTCTTATTCAACTGCGATTAAAATTATATATATTAATGATGTCTCCAAAGTTCAACGAAGTTTTCGCAGAAAAATAACATCAGAAATCGCGGCCGCTGTTTGCTGAGCTGTTCCGCGACGAAAACAAGCTTGAGCAATGGCGATGTCGAATAATGTACACTCGGTAAGTAATCCTACAATTTTTTGTTTATAACGTAGTTTATACGGATTATTTAAAAAAAAATATACGTATTTTCGAAAAATGTTGAGTCGGATTAGTCTAGAATCGATTAATTTTATAGAAGAAAATTTTTCAAACAGCCGTAGTCCGTAAACTTCACACTTGTCGGGCTGTGATTGAAAGGACTCGTAAGAAATCGGATTCCTAAAGAATGGAACGTATCTACTGTCTTATAGGGGGGTCGACTGTATAGAATTCATTACTTGCAATACTAGTTGTCAAATCTGAAACAAAACATTCCCCTGACTGCAAGCAAACAATTTGTTAATCGTTTAATTCATTACTGACAGAGAAGGGAGCTTTTGAAATCTAAGTATTAAAAAAATTAGCAGTTGATTTATTATATACAGTCAACACATCTTAATACTGTGAACGCACATTTATTCAGCTAAACAAACGTTTTCAACCCATTTCATAGGCCATCATCAGGTTAAAGCCGTTCGAATCCATCCATCCATCCATTAGAACTTATGTTGAAATTAAATTCTAATATTCTAATATAATTTAAATTTGAACGTGTTCCATAATGGCATGGATTCGAACGTCTTTAACTTGATGATGGCCCATGAAATTGGTTGAAAACGTTTGTTTAACTGAATAAATGTGCTTTCTCAGTATTAAATTGTGTTGACTGTATATAGTTAAAGGAATCTGAGTGAAAATAGGAGTTTATTTATTGTACTTCACAGTGGGAGGCCTACATATTCTATTACTTTCGCGGGAGAAAATAAACAACGCTTTACTACCCTGAATTTGAAAAACAATACGATCCTGTGAAATTTAATAAATCTGATGCCAATAAGCAAAATTTGAAATTATTTATAGGGAGTTGATATTTGATGAATTTTAGTTTTTGCATTTACAGATCAAATTTCAGAAAATATAAATAAAAATTTCAGATTTTACCCATAAGTATTTTATACCTTTAGATAGTAGATAAAATGTACAAATCGAAAATATAATCGTAATCGAGCATGTATATCAGTAATACACAAAAATTGCATTAAAATAACACACTATGTAGAACGTCTCAGCTAAAAAAGTAAGTGAATCGAGTCTCGCCGCCATATTAATTGACTCGCGATCCATTTTGAGCGCGTCGCGTTGCATCGAATTAAATGATTTATAAAAATTAAAATAATAAACACGTATATAAATTAATTGGCTATATCTGTTTGCAATAATATTGTAAAACACACTGCACTTATAGTTTAGCATTTCCGAAAATATTTAATTAATTTTTGAATTTTATTATATTTTATATATAAAATTGGAAAAACAAAAAATAAATGCTTAAAACTTAATAAAAAAAATTATCTGAAAATTCAGATAGCACATAAATATGAGATCAATAAAAAACAGGTAGTTAATCATAATTAAAATCGAGAAAAAAAAAATAAAACTTTCAAGGTAAGAAAATTTCTATGGTAAAAAGTGAGGTAAGCGATCACGTGACGTCCGTCTCCCCACCTTTTGTAACTAAAGCGGAGAAGGTTGAAATAAAATTAGAAACATCAGTAGAAGTAAAAACAAGCATCTGCGCGTGTCTAGAATAATAAACTCGAACGGGAGCGAAGATGAAACACGACACCTTGTAAATAATGCTAATCACCTTCTAATATTAAAATATTAAAATCTTCAATAAATTATAATGAAATTAAAATTTTTTGACTGAATTCGATTACAAACATATTACAAAACTAGATTATAGTAGAATTACCCGTTTTTTCACGCTAAATTTTTATTAATTAATTTTTTAAATTGGTGCCTGATTGACTGAGAGTGCGTAATTTCTATTTGACTGCACTCGCGCGTCCCAACGGGTTAACGTCTTTATACGAATACGGTCGCAAATTTTTGCCGTGATCTACGAATCCGCATTATATGAACCAGTTTTATAGGAGGTCTATTGTACTCGAAAACTCTAAATTTTAAAAGTCAAACCCAAATTAATTAGCTTAATTTGTGCAATATTGACTTAAAATAGTTATAATTACTAAAAAATTATTACGAGGTATTTATTCGTGTATATGTTACCGCTAAAGCTCGAAAGTCGTTAATGTGTACAGTACATTACCTAGCTAATCTGCAGATTAAATAAGGTGATTCGTTAAAGTTGTGAAAATTGTTCAATTTCTCAAATTATCTAGGTGATGTGCAGAGTATCTAGGTAATCCGCACATTACCTACTAGGCCCTCGGTAAAGTGAAAATAAGATCTTTGCCACAAATAGGTGTGCTTGTCGCAAAAACCAATTGCTACGAAATTCAGTGTCACCAATCTTTAGACTGCACTAGTAAGTAAGCGCAGTTGAATAATGTTACCTATGGTGAGTAAAATTGCGGCTCGTCTCTGATTCCAGCAAACAGAAGAAAGGAAACAGTGGGGATACACGTTCTAACTTAACCTAACCTATTCTAATAAATTACCATAATTATTACCAACCAAATTATTAGAATAAGTTAGGTTAAGTTTGAACGTGCGTCCCTACTGTTTTATTTCTTCTGTTTGCTGGAATCAGAGACGAGCCGCCATTTTACTAACCATAGGTAACGTTAACTCACAATTATATCATGCGATCACCAGAAAAAAGTATGATAACTTTATTATTTTTCGTCTCCGGTCCAAAAGTAGGGTATCGTTGAAGACGTCACGGTCCCCTGGGTTCAGATAGATACTCAAAGTTCCGAAATTCCATATAATAATTTCCTAATTGTATTAATATTTGAAACCGTTTGATTTTTTGTGTTTTTTAATTGGTTGATGATTCATACTATCAACTAATTTGTTGGTTGTTTGATTGTATTAACTTGATTCTTTAGATATCGAAATTTAAATAAAAAACATTATGTTAATTTAAGCGTAGAGAAACGTTGCTGTTGTTCAAGCAAAGATCTTATTTTCACTTTACCGAGTGCCTAGTAGGTAATGTGCAGATTACCTAGATACTCTGCACATTACCTAGGTAATTTGAGAAATAGAGCAATTTTACACCTTTAACGGATCACCCTAGTTAATCTGCAGCTTAGCTAGGTAATGTACATATTAACGACTTTCGAGCTTTAGCGGTAACATATATATATTATTCTTTACGAAAGTCGAGTGTTTGGAACAGCTAATCATTTATTGTACAGTACATGTCAACGACAAAATATTCTCTCATCTTTGATCAAATTTGTTAAAATATCTTAATTTCTACAGAAATATTAATTTTTAAAATTATTTTCAATATTATTTAGTGTTTCCTTTCGGTCACTCGATCATTTTTAACATTGTAAATATTTCTCACCTATTTTTACCTTTGTCTTTGGGTTACTTCTGTGGTGGTGTAAAATGGATTAATAAAGATAGTCTCGAGAATGTTATTTTTGAAAATAGTCTAAACTTCAATTATGAAAAAAGTATATCCTGAGTCATCACGAAAACATTACTTTACATTAGTTAAACACAGAGCATCTTCTATGTATGTATGTCTCTTTAATTCGACATTAAGTTCGGTAGACTATCATTGCAGCTTTCAGGTTAGACACTTCTTTTATTGTTACCACATATGCATTTCGGACTTACATAAATGTTAAGTCCCTCTTCAGTGCAATACTACAAATTATTAAAAAAAACATAATTAGTGACATGACAAAACTCTTCGCGTGCAGGTCATATTTACTGACATAAAACTATCATACTTAAAAATTGTCACACTTATACGATATCTATGGTTCTGTCTTCTAAAACCACGGTGTACAACGGGTAACATTGGTAAGATTTTAAAATACAGCCATTAAAAACACTCCAAATACATCTTCCAACATTAATACGAAAAACCTAATATATTAATAATTTTATAATTTTTTAATTTTAATGCTACCGCTCGTGATGTAATTAACAGGGAGTTAGGATCAAACGTACCGAAACCCTCTCTGACCTACGAGATGTTTTACTGTGCTCGTAACAAAAATACCGTCAAATTTCATTTAATTATTGAATTACAGTAGAGCCTCGATTATCCAACTCAATTGGGAACTGTGGTTGGTCGGTAATTAAAAAGTCGGATAACCGAAAAGTATGAAAAAATTCATTATTAGTATAGTATATTATTATATTCCATGTAATTAGTATATTAGTATATCGATATTAACCTACTTCGCGTTGAATTTTCATCGATGTCAAACCTAACAAACATTTTTTAAAATAATAATCGTCGCTATTGTATAGTTAAATACTAGAAAATTAAGCCTCGTTTAAATACTGCCTCCTTCATAGTCGAATGAGTGTTGCCAGCTAAAACACGTAAAAATAATATTAAAGTAGCCAAGACATAGCCAAATATTTTAGCGCCACATCACTAGCGGACATTTGAAATTTGCCGACTAGGACGGTCGGTTAACCGATGTGTCAATTAATCAGGAGTCGGATAATCGAGGCTCTACTGTAGATAATATTTTTTCTATTAAATTCACTGATATCTAACGTAATTAATAACCATTATTCTACATTATTCATAATTAAAATTTACTAACAAAGCGCAGCATATTTGAAGTATACAAAATTAATTTCTCTAAAACGAATGCAGAAGAACAGCAATTTGTGGAAAATTATTCATTAAAGCGTTCAAACTCAATGCATTTGAATTGACAAAAGTTCAGTTGTCAACATTGTAATAAATCACTTTTTCTTCCTTTGGCTCTGCCACTTTCTCGATATTTCTTTTCTTATGACAATAAACAAACACAACAACTGTGATTAAACCTAACAAGGTTAGCGAAGTAAGAACAGTAACTGCGATTTTCCATCCAAAAGTACAACCAGCTTCGTCAAAACACGAGATTTGCATGCATTCACTATTAAAAACAATACTGGTAAAAGAGAAAACAGACGAATTTTTCGTGCATAAAACCTCGGAGAAATCTGCAATTTTCAATTTGTTTCGAAGCAACCAGTCTTTAGTGAATCGCGAATGGCAATCACAAGTCCAATTGTTTCTCGATAAGTACACCGTGAATTCAGCAGAGACGTCGATCAGATTCATTAATCCGGAAGGCAATTCGGTTAATCGGTTTCCGTCCAACCAAAGAAATTTCATGTTTGGCATAAGAACATAATCCGAAAAACGGAAAAGAGAATTGTTGCTCAGGTGCAGACGGGTGACTTTGTTCCACGTTCGAGAATCCACAGTCGAGAAATCACTTATGTAATTATTACTCAAGTCGACGATTGTCGCATTTTCGATCAGAAATTCGGGTAATTTCTTTATTCCCTTTCCATTACAGTCGACTTTGAGGTTGTCGTTTTCTGAGAAACATTCGCAGTTTAGTGGACAATGGCTTTTAATGGAGAAGAATTGCGTAAAATCCAGCAATTTTCTTTCTTCTCCGTGACATTTCATGTCTTTTACATCCGGAAAAATTTGTAATGAAATTTCTAAATTCGATTGAACAGTGCTGACGAAATGCAAAAGTTCTCCATTACAAGTTATTGGGTTTCGACCTAATTGGTAATTGGGTTTGTTGAATCCGTACTTCCATTCATCGATGTAAATGGTTTTTATGAGACAAAAATCCAAATCGATCTTCATGCGGTTCGGAGTGTAAATCGGCAATTTGACAATTTCGAAATAGTTGAATGGAGCATAAATATAAGTCAAATTGTAGTTTGTCCAATTTAAATTCGGCCATTCTGTCAAACCTGCTCCACCCAAATACAGTTCTTCGAGATTATTGTTGAAGTCGAAGGAAATTTTACTGAAATTGTTATGAGAAAGAGAAAGAATTCGTAAGTTCTTCGTTGGAAGAAAGATGTTTTTAGGTAAAAATGTCAAGCGATTAGATGATAAAACTAGTTCTTCCAGATTCGACAAACGTTGGAACGTATCTTCTGCAATGTTTTCTAGACGATTTTCGTGAAAATTAATTTTTTTGAGTTTATAAGGTCCATCGAAAATACCATTCGGTAGTGTCGATAATTTATTCCGACTGTATTGAAAAACTTCCAGATTTTTACAATTTTTGAGCAGATTGGATGGAAGATGCAGCACATCGTTGGAATAGAAATCAACCTTTCTTAAGTTCATGCAATTGGAAAAGAAATCTTCTTCGATTTGAAGTAAAGGAAAGTAAGAAGCGCGAAATTCTGTCAGATTGTCGAGTTCCTTTAAAAATGCAGAGCGCAATTCAGAGAAATGTCCAGAAATAGAAAAATTCCTTAATGTCGAAAGACCTTTCAACAAGTTTTCAGGAAAACTTTTTATTGGGTTTCCTTCCAAATTCAACTGTTCCAATAAAGTGAAATGTTGAAAGAATGAAGGATGAACGAATTCAATTAAATTATAACTTAAGTCGAGTGTTTTCAAATTATAAAGACCATGAAACAATTCTTCTGGTAAAGTCTTTAATTTACCAAAGTTCAGTTGTAATTCAGAAAGATTCTTCAATTGTTGGAACGGTCTGTGCAGAAACGACGTAAAGTTATATTTCGAGATTTTCAAAGAAATCAGAGAAGAATCACTGGGAAAACTCAAATTAAATACGTCGAAAGTTCTTACTCCTTCAATTTCTAAATATTTCAGAGACGACATATTTATAAATGATGCACTATCGAAACTCAACGTCTCAGTCTTGTATTTTATGAATATTTTCTCGATGGCATAAGTCGAAGCGAATCTTTCGACGGCAAATCTCGCCAAGTAACAATCGATAAAAGCTAAGTGTTTAACGTATTTGGCGTTTAAACAATGCATCAAACGAATGTCGATGGTTTGTTTGTCACTGCAAGTGACAGATAACGAGTTATTGAAGATTTCCACAGAGGAATGTCTATTTGATATATAACACCTATCGGCGGTCGATATGCAAGAATTATTTATTCTTAGAATCCAATGACGTATAATTTCTGTACCGTCTATAATGTGGAATTCTCCTATTTTACATTTGTATATTGGCGCTTTACAAGTGAAGTTTCCCCATTGGTTCCAGAAATCTTGGCAGCAATTTACTAGCGTGAATAGGAATGGAAAAAGGATTACCAACCTCATCTTTTCTGCTCACAGTCTTGTCGTTTCTTCTATTTTAAGTGAGACAAGTCTTAATGTGATACACCAGCATTTATTGTTTCAACCGTTACTTGTCGACTGACAAATAAAGCGGATGAATTACGAGAATAATTAGAATGATTCATTATTCATTGCTCTCATTGAAGATGATTATGACATAATTTTTAATTAATTTCTTCGTTTTTCGTCTCGCTCATATAGTAACAAGCATTTCATATTATTACTAAATAATTATTGTCACAAATATTTATTAAGTCTAATTTATTACTGTGTAAATTTGATACATATATTATATATATACACTTAGATTACACGTTCCGTATGCCACAATTAGTCGTCAAGTTGACATTTTGAATTCTGAAAGTTTTCGAATTTAGAAATTATCGATTTCAGATTTTAATATGGCGCCTAAAACTGGGATTTTCATAATAAAGACACGACTCATTCATTTTTTATAATTTCCTGATTTAGAAAAGTCATTACTTTCATTTTTGTTTTTTTTTTATTACTACAGTAATTTTCTTTCCTCTTTCCATTTTACTTTCTCATTTTTCGATTTAATTTCCTTTTTTCTTTCATTGTACTTTGTATTTTAATTATAATTTGCACTTAGAGAATCTCAGAGCATTTTACGAGTATATTATTCCTTTTAAAGTTAAAATCAAATAATATTGTTTTCTGTGAGAGTGTCTCGGAATTGCCAGGCATTGTCTATTACAGAGTCTGCAACACTAACCGTTAACAGTGGCTAATGTTAATTACTATACGGATTGTAGAACGTACCGGATATAATAGAATCGATAAAGGCAATTAAACACAAAGCATTCTTAAAATACCTAGGTNTTGATAAATGGAAGCAATATCATTGCGGGTGAAATTTCAAAGGCGAATTCACAACTGATGGTAAACCTGTTTTTGAAAGTCATATAATAGAATTAATTTCGTATCTAACGAAAAATACAAAAAGTTTATTTAAAAAAACTTCAAATTTTTTAATTCGTGAAAATTTGAATTTAATTTTCACAAAAAAACGGAAGTTTAAACTTACAGATTATTCGATAAAGAAATATAAAGAATACGTAAAAATTACGTAAAGAATGGTTGCAGAAACGTACTATGAAAGGCACAAAAATGATTTCTTGTATGAATGAAACTGTCATCATTTGTAATATTTAGGGAAAAGTTGGGTAATGAAAGAGTGCAATGCAGCTCACTTAGGTACCTCGAAAATGAATGGAACTGCGAATGTACGATTGAGGTGGCAAAGTAGCAAATGTGATGATAATTTTGTGCTGGCCATCAGAAGTAGAGTTTTTCCTTCTATTTGCTGTTCTCGAGGTGATGGCTTAGAATATTTTGCAAATTTCCACAGAGAATAAGTATATAATTATTTTTAACTGTTTTCATATTACATCATACATCAGCATTTTATAAAATAGAGAACTTTGTTATCCGTTGTGTATACAATACAACTTTCCTATCACCGTTTTCAATTTATTTAGCTAGTCTCATTGTAGATCAAAATATTTTCTGTCGAAATTAATAAATAACCCTAAAAATAAAGTAATAAATAGAAAAGTTTGACATATTCTTTTGTTTTTCAATACTAAAAATAATTAAGACTATTACTAAATAAAAGTTTTTACAATTGATACGCAGCAGAAAGATATTTACTTTCATTTATAGAATTTCATTCTCTTAAATGACGTTACAGTTGACCCTCCCTATAACACTGTTGATAATTCCGTTTTATATGAATTCCATGTTGTACGAGTCACTTAAATTTTACAAATATGTGTGCCGGGATGTGAACGGCTCGCGTATTTGTAAAATCTCAGTGACTCGTACAACATGGAATTCATATAAAAAGGAATTATCGAGAGTGTTATAGGAGAATCAACTGTAATTAACAAAATTACAGTTTATTTCGCTTTAATTTTTTAAAACATTAAACATTATTAACATTGTATTTACATACAGATAAAAATGTATCCATGTAAACAATTGAATGTAGTTACAAAATATTATCTCTTACGAACCTTGATGAAAAGTACTTAAAACTGTTTAAGGCCATCCCTTGGATGTTTCACTCACCTTCAACGTAAGATAAAGGATTACATAAAAAATTATTTCATTATCAACACAAAATTCTCTAATAAACACACGTAAACAATACAAGTTAATATAATGTTTAGCGTAGGAAATATTTCTTTCGACACAATTGTTCTATTTCAGGCAACATCCTGTAAAAATCTAACAAATGTTTTACTTATACGGTAAAAAGAACAATAAGCTTTCTTTAGAGTCTAAAGGAAGCTTATTGTATCAGAAGATCCCTAACTCACGTCTTGAGATTGAGGAAAGACAGTCATACGGACAGACGGACAAAAGTAAGAATCTATAAGTCTACAATTTTTTTCAAACTGTAACTCAAAAAACGTTTGTAGCTGACACATCCTTTTCTTATTACATTAAAAAAGAATGCCAAAAGAATATATTAATTGCCTATATTATATCAAAGACAGAAATTATATATATGTTTGTTATTTATATCTTTCCTATACTTTACCTTTACTTTGTTGACTGCTGAATAACAGGGGAATTGCAGCGATCAGACAAAAATGCAAAAGATTGTGGTATTTTCTTTTTGTATGGATGTTAGTTTTTGTATAGGTAAGTATATATGTTTCTGTGTATGTGTGGGTGTTTAATAAATTTCAAACTTAAGATCGGAGAGTTTAGAAATGAATATTTACGAGAAAGAACATAAACCAGTTAATAATATAAAAAGATCCAATATGCCAATTCTTTTTTAAAGTGCCAAATTAATACAAACGTGTTACTCGCAAAACCGGTCCTCGCTTAACGAGCAGTGAAACTTACAAGTTAGAACCTGATGTCCAGCGCGGAGAATCGCCTTTATCAGTCTGAATCTTGCGAATTCCCTTTTCTAGTGTAAGTCTCGTTCCCCCAGTAGATCATTATTAACTACACGAAACGTAGACAGTCTCCAACACTATAGATTTCGTGTAGAAATTTCTACTTTATTGTCACCATTTAATGCAAGATGACGAAAAGAAACAGCACGGCTTCACCCGGAAAAAAGATGAAAAACGATAAAAAGGGCAACAGAAATGTTAATGAAGTAAAACGAAACTCGTATAAAGCGGAAATCTGTGTAAACGGAAAGCTTTTCAGGGTGATTTTGTATTATTATTATTTTAGAAACAAGGTGGAAGTAATATTTTTTGTGAATTCGTGGACAAAGAAAATCCCCGCTTTATGAAATGTATCTAGTATGCTTAAATGAGTAAAATTAAAAGTAATTGAGCTTCACAAGAAATTTTTTAAGTAGCAAATTTAGTATCAGACTACTTACTACTTATAATGTATTAAAAAAACTCATTCAGCAAATAATTTATACGCCATAAAACATACCTTATGTTGTTGAAATAATTTATTTAACGCTAAACTTTAGTTAAATAAATTATCTCAGCAACTTTAGGTTTATTTTGATTGTGTATCAAAACAATTCTGCATTTAATTGATAAATGGAAGCAATATCATTGCGGGTGAAATTTCAAAGGCGAATTCACAACTGATGGTAAACCTGTTTTTGAAAGTCATATAATAGAATTAATTTCGTATCTAACGAAAAATACAAAAAGTTTATTTAAAAAAACTTCAAATTTTTTAATTCGTGAAAATTTGAATTTAATTTTCACAAAAAAACGGAAGTTTAAACTTACAGATTATTCGATAAAGAAATATAAAGAATACGTAAAAATTACGTAAAGAATGGTTGCAGAAACGTACTATGAAAGGCACAAAAATGATTTCTTGTATGAATGAAACTGTCATCATTTGTAATATTTAGGGAAAAGTTGGGTAATGAAAGAGTGCAATGCAGCTCACTTAGGTACCTCGAAAATGAATGGAACTGCGAATGTACGATTGAGGTGGCAAAGTAGCAAATGTGATGATAATTTTGTGCTGGCCATCAGAAGTAGAGTTTTTCCTTCTATTTGCTGTTCTCGAGGTGATGGCTTAGAATATTTTGCAAATTTCCACAGAGAATAAGTATATAATTATTTTTAACTGTTAGTTTTAATCATTATATTATAAACTGTATAGATTTATCTTAACATTCACGCTTTTCGGTGAATTTATAATATTCAATTAAGCCAACAACAAAACATCCAAATCCAACATGACGACGAAAGGTAATGACGCTGACGTAAGCTAAGTACAGTACAACAATAGTGCTTTAAGGTGATATTTCATCCGTTTATCGTATTTCAAATTAAACTAAATGGGGAGAATGAAGAAGACAATAAAACATTTACAAATTCTAAGAGTTATACCAGAAAATCGCAAACTACATGCATTTAAGTAAGAATAAATTCATTTTTCGAACAAAAAACTTAAATTAAACGAGGCTGTGTGCATCCGAAAAGAACTGAATATAAGAACGAAATTATAAAGTTAAGTTTTCGAATTTTAATAAAGAAAATCCGAAAAATACACTTTAAAAGTGAATGGAAAATATTTTAAAAGATGAAGAAATGTTTATAGTAAATGCGATTATTTGAAAAGTGAAATTTATACTTTAGTTTTAATCGGTAATTACTTTTATAGTTGGCATTTCAATAAGTAAACAGATTATTCATTACGACCGATCCTTCTGTATTCGTTGTCTTTAGTACGTTTCAAAAAACTAGTAAATTAATGAAAGTAGTTACATTTAAATTGTCGTAATTACAGAATTCAAGTGTGAACATTGTAACAAACCATTTCCTCTTGATGAGTATTTGGCTCTTTCTTGTCACTTCGTCTTCTGCGATAATAAACGATGGAAACAGCAATAATCACACCTATTAATAATAGCGAAGTAAGAACAGCGACTGCAATTTTTCATCCAAAAACAGAAAAATCATTTACTAAAGATACCAAATTTATCTTTTGAAATTTCTCCACATTCATCATTGGAAACAATATCGATGAAAGACAGAAAAGACGAATTTCTTCTGCAGTAAATATTGGGGAAATCTGCAATCTTCTGTCTGTTTCTAAGCAACCAGACCTTAGTAAATTGCGAATGGCAGTGACAAGTCAAATCGTTTCTAGATAAGTAAAGTTTAAATTCCGGAGAAATGTCGATCAGATTCATTAAACCGACAAGTAATTCGGTTAATTGGTTTCCGTCCAACCACGGGGATTTGAGGTTTGGCAAAAAAACGTAATCCTGAATATTACTTATTGAATTATTACTCAGACGTAGATGGGTGACTTTATTCCATGTAAAAAAATCGATATTTGACAAATCTTTTATGTAATTATTACTCAAATTGACAATCGTCGCATTCGGAACGAGAACTTCGGGAATTCTGACGATTCTTTTTCCGGAACAATTCACCAACACGTGATTGTCTTCGTCGAAACATTCACAATTCATCGGACAATAATTTCCTATGACTACGAAAGCTGTATAATCAAGCAAGTTTCTTTCTTCTCCGTAACATTTTGTGTTCTCTATACTCGGAAACATTGTATTTGCTACTTCTCTATTTGACTTAAAAGCAGAAACGAATTGCTGCAGTTTGTGATCACAAGTAATTTCATTATTACTTAAATCATAAGTCGGCATTTGAAATTCATATTTCCACTCATCAATGTAAATTGTTTTGATCTTAAAGCTAGTCATTTGAATTTTTAGACGATTTGGTGTGTAAATTAGCATTTTGGCGGTTTCAAAACGATTATTTGAGAAATCGACTGCAGTCAAGTAGTATTCTGTCCAATCTAACACCGGCCATTGTGTCAAACCCGCATTGTTTAAACGGAGAGTACGCAGGTGCTTGCTGCTGCCAAAAGGATGCTCACCAGTAAGTTTAGTTAAATTGTTGTTAGATAGATCGAGAAGCGTTAAATTAATCAATGGGAGGAAGATGTTTTCGTGTAAAAACGTTAGGAGATTTTTTGATAAATCGAGGCTTTGCAATGACGACAAATTCTGAAAAACGTCTTCGGGAAGATTTTCTAACCGATTTCCCCGCAAGTTTAACTCTCGCAGTTCAGAAAGTCCGTGAAAAATTCTTGCTGGAAGTGTCGATATTTTATTGTTCGCACAGGAAAAATTCGTCAGTAGTTTTTTATTTCTTAGCAGCTTCGGCGGGAGATATTCAATTTGGTTGAGATTTAAATAGACGGTTTTCAAATTAATTAAGTCAGAAAATACATCTTCTTCGAGTGACGAAATAGAGCAATTATAAGCAAAAGATACAGTCAAAGTGTATAATTTTTTAAAGAATCCGGATGGAATTTCTGTTATTCTATTTGCATTAATAAATAAAAAGCTTAAATTAGAAAGACCTTTCAGCGTGTCACTGGTTAAATACTTTATTTGATTAAATCCTTAATCCAAAAATTCGAGTTTGGTCAGATTTCTAAAGACAAGTGGATGAATCGATTCAATTTTATTCTCACTTAAGTCCAGAATGGTCATATTATGAAGATTATAAAATAGACCTTCGGGTAAATCTTTTAACTCTCCATACGAGATGTCTAAATCGTAAAGATTAATTAACTCTCGAAAAGGTCTGTTCGGAAATGAAGTGAAGTTAGACAATAGAATACTCAATGAAGTCAGCAATGGAACATTGCGAAATGTTAAATTTAGAAATCCCGACGTCTTCACGTGTCGTATTTCGACAGATTGCAGAGAGGACATGTTATTAAACGAGGCGCTCTCGAACTTTCGTTTAGACACGAATGGTGGGTACCATATCCGGACGCGTTTGATTCCATACCCGTAAGTGAACATTTCAAAGTCAATCCCCGACAGAAAACAATCTCTTACCTTTATTTCTTGTATATTTCTAACGTCCAAACATCGCATCAAACGAGAGTCAATCGTTTCCTGGCCGCACTCGGTATACAAGGACCGGTTAAACATTATAACAGCGGAAAATTTGTTTGATTGGTAGCAGCTGTTTGCCCAAGACATACAAGAAGCTTTTTCCCAATGCCGCCAAAACTCTTGACAGGAATTTGCTACTAGAAATAGAAACGGAAAAAAGATAACACACCTCATCTCGTTTAATGAGTCTCCTAATTACATCGACAGACGAATCTCAGCACTATGATTTTCAGAAATCAATTAACAATTAAACAATCCTTATTATTAATATTCGCTATCAGTACTGTTGCTATGTTGACAGCACTACGAATTATGACGTCAGTGATATTGCATCTTAATTTGCAATATAAATATGACGTATACAGTTATTTATTTCCTCGTTTATGTCCGTTGTAGTAATAAGGACAAAATAAGCTTAACTTTAAATGAATATTTTACGGATAAAAAATTTGTTGTCTTTTTTACATTTATTACACGAGAATTAATCGTTTAAACAAATTGACATCGTGAATATAATACTCTTTCTCTTATTTTTCTAAGACGTATGTGAGTAGTGTTAATCAATTGTGTTTTGTGACACAAAACAATGTTATTATCTTAATTCAGTTAAATTATTATAATAAAAATTTGATAAATGAGTACAAAATAAATATAAAATGTATTCCTTTTATATTCGTTCAAATATTCGTTCATTGGATGAAATTTAAATCATTTTATGATGAAATATAAAATAGTTTTTGGAATTATTGATTCTTCATCTTACACTAATCTTTCGATAACTTGTGATTGTCTAATACGTAGAAGTGTTTTTGGAATGTGTATTGCACGACGTCACAGACGACACGTAAATGTTGTTAGACACAGAGAACATTTGAATCAATAACAGATATTACGTCATAATACGTGTCAAATTACGTCGTTCTCCGTACGTTACGACAGTAGACTAATTAATTAATGAAAGCGAAAGGTTCTGTACGTTACTCGCAACGAATTCGTTCGGTAGCTGTGACGTAACACGCCAATTATGAAACGACAATTTTGTTCTTCATTGTTCGAAATCTAAAGGATTATGAATGAATGTTTACGAGGAAGAATGAAAAACAGTTTATATTTACTCCGAATATAAAAGTGCTAAATTAATACAATCGTATTCATCCACTCCTTTCTTAACAACCGCCGGAACTTACAATCTGCTCTTCAGCGCGTGGAATTCCTTTTTGTAGTGTAAGTTCCGTTTTTCCAATGGGCCATTGTTTACTACAGGAAACGTCGGCAATCTCCAACACTATAGATTTCGTGTATAACGTTGAACTTTATTATGCACTGATAAGTGCAAGAAGACGGAAAGAAAGAGCGGGACATAATCAAAAGAAAGGGCAGCGAATGAACGCCGAGGCAACAGAAATATTAGTGAAAATAAAGCGAAAGCAGTACAAATCGTATGCTAAATTTTATTGGAATTCGAACCTATGTAACGCGGAAGCGGAAGACATGTTTTGGTAAGAAAACATTAGAGAAAGCAACAAAAAAAGTTGTTTCTTGTTGACAGGTTAGGGAAATTGCTTTCTAGTACAGTAAGACTTTGCTTAACGCGGGGTACGTTCGTAGACGACAAAGAGCTGAACGAAACACGTTCAATCAGAAAGAGTTTTCACAAGTTTTATTAAAACTTCCTATGACGAATCCCCCCGAGCTTCCGATATAAGCACTTCAAAAAGTTTAGGATAATTGGAATCCATCTCCCAATCCGCCAACCCGTAAATTACAAGAACTGGGCAAAATACAATATTACGATTAAACTGAAAGAGGAGATATTTAGCCTGGTCTTTTTCCTTTCTCTTTATGTGAAAATATGAATTTCTAACTAAAGTGTCAAATAGTTTCCTAATTAAATGTATGATTTTCAAAAAGTTTAAAACAATATGAAATAAATTGATAAATATCGTCTAATTGTAAGTAATAACGCTTATAGTTTAGTCCAATTATGAGAATTTTATCTCAGGTATTGTTGTTTCCAAGTTTATTCGACTGTAACGGACTTGGAAAATTGTGATTATTTAACGGGACAGAAGTGGCGAAATCTTCGAGTATTTCCTCATGACATCAACGGAAGATCGTTTGCAAGATGACGATGCAAATTAAACAAACTAAAGTTTAAAGTCACACGGGCAAAAATGCCAAAAGATGGATTACATCTTAAAATACAATGCTTTAGGATTGTCCCGGAAACAAGCAGACCTGTCTCCATTTGAAAAAGAATGATAAGGAGAATCTAACCCAAGCCATAAAACAAATTTAAAAGAAAAATGTACAAAAATTGTGTCTGAAAGTAGACTAGTACAATGAAAATCATTTATTGATAGTACATTAAAAAGAATTATTTATTTTGACACGGTAACAATTCCGGGGTGCGAGTTTTAATCATAATTCTAGTATCTTTTTTATGTATAATATATGGATCGGTTTCGTACATCAGTCTTTTCATTTAACAATAAAGTTGTGCCGGTCATCTATTTAAATCCTTTCGGGAAAGAAATTATATGAATTGTAGTTACGTGACTTCCGATTCTCATCGCACCTTTCAAAAAAGTTTCCTGCTTAAACTCCCGTCTTTTCGAGTTGGTTTGCCGGATTAAGTACGACTAGAAATATGTCTGAAGTAGGTTCGGTGAAAGCACACCTTTACCCTCAAGATACCTGTTCGAATGGAAGTTTTCTTACTTCAATCGTGTTATGACAAAATATAAAATATTTCTTGCGTATTATTCTCATTTTTTCTCGAACTTAAAAGAAAATAAAAATGACCCCTTTTGATATGTAAAAAAGACAGCAAGAATGCCTGTAATTAAGGAATCAAACGTTATATACGTGGATAGAGATACGAAAACAAAGAAAACACAAAGTGTAGAATAAAAATAGTAAATATATACAGTGAAAATTATGTAAGAAGAAAACAGTTATAATTTGAAAAAGTTATTATAATTAGACCAACGAGTTGGCACGTCTTTGTAGCAACAGTCGAAATTTTACCAATCAAACAGAGTCTATTATTTCACCAATCGCAACAACGGTGACGATCGTCGCCGACGTTAACGTCAGTTACTTATATTTAGTACTAGCTGATGAGCCAGACGTTGCTCGGGCAAAAATAACAACAGCAAACAATAAGATTATTAGAATTTATTGGTAGAATTAATTCAGTAAAACAGAGAAAAATATGGCGATCAGAAAAATAACCCGGTCGCAGATTTTAACATTTTTGTGCTGGGAATATTTTACGGGATAACGAAGTCCTGTTAAAATACAAAAGACTTTCATACGAGGAATATTTTTTGCCCATTCTATCCTCTTCTTCGGAGATGTGGTTATTAAATAAAATAGAAAACATTAGAATTTAAGCAATGAAAATTATCTTATTGAAGTAAATTTAATGCTACAGAAAACCACAGATCCATCAACGATCTTTTGTAAAAATTGCAAATTTAATAATTTTTCTGAATGGTGAAATGTTACTTCCGTTCGGAACTTTCTGTACAGAAAATATTGCTAAATTATAGATGTACAATATTGATTTATGCTTAATTTACTGCTTTATTATGCGATAATGATGCATTTTGTAGCATCATTCGTATTCAAAATGCATAAAAACGTATACAAAATTAATTATTAATAGAAATAAATACAAAATAATAACGATTTACGAAAAATTATTCATTAAAGCGATCAAACACGTAAGGTTTTAAATATCCAAATTACAGAGTTTGTCAGGTGTAAACATTATAATCAACCATTTCTTTGTCCTTAGATTTTGGCACAGTCTCGACATTTATTTTTCTGAGACAATAAACAATGGAAACAACAATAATCTCATATACTGTATTAACATTAGCGAAGTAAAAACAGAGACTGCGATTTTCCATCCTGAAACAGAACTTACTTCATTCAATCAATATTCGTTCGAAGAAGAATCACTTACTGAAAATGCCAAATTTATTTCTGAAATTTCTGTGCATCCGTCATTAGAAACAATATCGATGAAAGACAGAAAAGACGAATTTCTTCTGCAGTTAATATTAAAGAAATCCGCAATCTTCTGTTTGTTTCGAAGCAACCAGTCTCGATTAAATTGCGAATTACAATCGCAATTAAAATTGTTTCGTGATAAGTAAATGTTAAATTCCGGAGAAACGTCGATCAGGTTCATTAAAACGGAAGGTAATTGGGTTAACCGGTTTCCGTCCAACCACAGCCATTTCAGGTTTGGCAAAAAAACATAATCAGAAATATTACTTATTGAATTATTACTCAAACGTAAATGAGTGACGTTCTTCCACGTCACACAATCGACATTTGACAAATAATTTATGTAATTATTACTCAAATCGACAATCGTCGCATTCGGGACAAGAACTTCGGGAATTCTCTCGATTCCCTTTCCGGAACAATTCACTACCACGTAATTATTTTCGTCGAAACATTCACAATTCATCGGACAATAATTTTCTATGACTACGAACGATGTATTATCAAGCAAGTTTCTTTCTTCTCCGTAACATTTCGTCTTTTCTATATTTGGAAACATTTTACTTGCTACTTCTCTATTTGATTTAATCGCAGAAACAAACTGCTGCAGTTCGAAGTTACAAGTAATTTCATTACTCCTTAAATCATAAGTCGTCATTTGATATCCATATTTCCACTCATCCATGTAAATTGTTCTGATTTTACAATTAGACAGATCAATTTGCATGCGATTTGGAGTGTAAATTGACAACTTGACGATTTCAAAATGATTATTTGAGAAATCGACTTCAGTTAAGTTGTATTCTGTCCAATTTATCACCGGCCATCGTGTCAAACCCGCATTCTTTAGACGGAGAGTACGCAGATGCTTGCTGCTGCCAAAAAGAATTTTACCAGTAATTTCAGTTAAATTGTTGTAAGATAGATCGAGAATCGTTAAATTACTCAATGAGAAGAAGATGTTTTCGTGTAAAAACGTTAGGAGATTTTTTGATAAATCGAGGCTTTGCAATGACGACAAATTCTGAAAAACGTCTTCGGGAAGATTTTCTAACTGATTTCCCCGCAAGTCTAACTCTCGCAGTTCAGAAAGTCCATTAAAAATTCCTGTTGGAAGTGTCGATATTTTATTATACGAACAGGAAAATTGTGTTAGCAATTTGTTATTTCTCAAAAGATTTGGAGAGAGGTGTTGAATTTTGTTGAAGTTTAAATAGACGATTTTCAAGTTAAATAAGTCAGAAAATACATCTTCTTCGAGTGAAGAAATAGAACAACTCCATGCAGAAAAATGTGTCAAGTTGTGCATTTTCTTAAAGAATCCGGACGGAATTTCTGATAATTCGTGGTTCCCACTAACAGAAAATATCTTTAAGGTAGAAAGACCTTTTAACATGTCACTGGGTAAAGCCTTTATCTGATTCCATTCTAAATCCAAATATTCCAATCGGGTGAGATTTCTAAAGACAAGTGGAGAAATGGATTCAATGATATTTAAACTTAAGTGTAGTTTTTTCAAATTGCAAAGATTATAAAATAGATCTTCGGGTAAAACAATTAACCTACCAAACTTGATGACTAATTCGGAAAGATTAATTAACTCTCGAAAAGGTTTGTTTGGAAATAAAGTGAAGTTATATTGTATAATTCTCAATGAAGTAAGCGATGGAACATTGTGAAATGTTAAATTTAACAGTTTCGACGTATTCACGCCTCGTATTTCGACAGATCGCAGAAAAGACATGTTACTAAACGAGGCGCTCTCGAAGTTTCTTTTATACGAGGATGGGTTCAATACCTTGACGTGTCCGATTTCATATCCGAAAGTGAATATTCCAAAGTCAATCCCCGACATATAACAATTAGTAAATGTTATCTCTTGTACATTTCTAACGTCCAAACATCGCATCAAACGAGAGTCAATCGTTTCCTCGCCGCACTTGATGGATAAGGATTGATTTAATATTTCAACGAAGGAAAAGTTTTTTGATTCGTAGCAGCTGTCTGCCGATGATGACAGGCAAGAAACATTTCCCCAATGTTGCCAAAACTCTTGACAGGAATTAACCACTAGAAATAGGAATTGCAAAAAGATAACCCACCTCATCTCGTCCAAAGAGTCTTGTAATTATATCGACAAACGAATCTCAGAAGTATTATCCTAGGAAATGAATTAAGAATAAAACACAATTCTGAACTCCTAACAGTCGATATCCTAACTGTTGCTACGCCGATAACACGATAAATTATGATGTCAGTGACATTTAATCGTCATTTTTTACACAAATATGACGTAGACAGTTTTTAATTTCCTGGTTTATTTCCGTTGCTGCGAAAGGAACAAAATAAGATTAATTTTAAGTGAATATTTTACAAATAAATAGTTTGTTTTGCAAATTTATTACGCGAGAATTGATAGTGTAAACAAATTGATATTGTAAATAAAATATTATTTATTTTCTTTCTCTAAGACGTATCTGAATGGTGTGTTTTGTGACACATAATAATGTTTTTGTCTGACTCCACTTAAATTATTGTAATAAGAAATTTATTACTGAATGTCAAGTAAATATAAAATGTATTCGTTTCATATTCGTTAATTGTTTTTTCAATTCGTGAAATTTCAATTATATTATGACGAAATATAAAATATTTCTTGTGTTATTGACTTTTTTCTTTAAAAATTTACAGAAAATCAAAATACTTTTGATTATTTTTTGCTGTCTTCTTTACTTATCAAATAAAAAAAAAAACAGAAAGTATTTCCTGTGTGAATGAAACTTTAACCGTTTGTCATATTTAAAGCATTTCATTAAGCTAATAAAAGTATAAGATAAATGAGAAACTCTGGAAAATAATTTATAAATATTTAGAAAATGGAAATAAATTTAATCTTCGAGTAAAAAGCTTAAAATAAATGAAACAGATTGCGGCAAATACTTAATTTAAAACAAGATATTATCTATTTGACGAATGTGATCCTTGAATATTACCGTTGATCCTTGAATAAGTAATGATTGCCTTTATTTCGTATAACTGTTTTTTGGAATGTATTGTGCGTCATCACAGACGAGACGTAAATGTTGCTACACAACGAAAACATTTGTATCAATAACATAAATTGCGTCATCATTGGATACACCAGTGTCGAATTACGTCGAACTCCGTACGTTACGACACAAGATCGAACGAGACTGTCGAAACGGAAGAAACGTCACTGGCTTGTTTGGTAGCTGTGACGTAACACGCCAGTTATAAAACGACTACGTTGTTCTTCATCATTCAAAATCGAATCGTTTATGAATGAATGTTTACCAGGAAGAATGTAAAACCGTTGTGTTCACTCCGAATATAAAAAGTTGTAGTAGGCCAATTTTTTTTTTAAAGGGCAAATTAATATATTCGTGTCCGGCCATTCCTGGATCAATTGTTGCTGGAAACAAAAACTTTTTCTGCAACACGGAGAATTCTTGTCTTTTAGATGGACCTTCGTGAAGTTTCTGGATGAAGAAAATATTGGCGTGGTTCCGGTAAACTGAGAGTTGTAAACATCCGTCTCCTTCGATACAAAGTAAACATTTAATTAAATGTAAGATTTTGGTTATGAAATGAACGTATTAATTGTTATTTTAATTAATTATAAAACTGCATTACGAAAACGTAAACTAGGATAAGAACTGACATAGAAGAAAACTTCCTTTGATAAAGTAACAATGAAGACGAATGACTGAAAAGAAATTTCATCTTCGGAGGATAAACACCTAACAAACAAAAAAAACGTACAACAAACTGCCATTCCATTAACAAATGAAAAATGTAACGATGAAAGTTGTAGACATTAGGGAAATATTTTCTGTGTTTCGACAAGAGATTATGCTGTCGTTTACCTGGGAGATTCTGAGTCTAGACTCCAAACAATTCTTTTAACAGACAATACAAGGCTCGCATGTCGAACAATTCGAGTGTTAATAAAGTGGAAGACTCGTTTTTTAATATTTATATTTAAAATCGAAAGGAAGTTAGTGTTAAATGTGTGCGAAAGATAAGAATTTTAATTATAATAACCGGAATGTTCGAAGGAAGTAAATATTAATGTATTTGAGACCAATTTGAAGTAATTAAAGTTTTCCGTTCTGTATAATCACAACGATAATCGACACTTAATTTTATAATTTATTACTATTATAAAGAATTTTACTCCATTAAATTGAATTTTTTTCTCGCAATTAGGGTGAATATTCAGCAAATTAATACGCGTGAAAATCTAATAAAATTTATGTACAATTTATGTACTCTTCACTATGCCTGTCTTCGGTTTTAACATCCTCTTTTAATTAAAACACGTGACATCTGGTCCAAACTGAAAACTCTAGAAGAAAATCAGAGTACCCAAACGTGTGCTTTTTTACAGCTGGTTTCGATTTTAATCTATTTCACTCCGTTATCGAGAATAAGAAAGGACAGACGAATAGCGAGATGATTACAGACGGGCAAACTTACGAGAGTCTGAACGAAGTTTTTCAATATGAAAATTGCGGCTCGATAATCACAAATACTTTCTAATGGAACCAAAGCCAAACACCAAAGGAGACAATTATGAAATTCCTAAAATCAAGAAGTTCATAATATTCACGTGCAAAGCCTTTAACACAATGGAATTTTCTGCGTAAAGAACGGTCATTTGACGAATTTCTTAACCGAGTTCGTAGAATTTCAAACCAATACGACATGTTTTTCAATTAAATAAACATGAATTTATTTTTAACTTTAATGGAATCGGTCCGATAAAATATCGAAAGAATTAATCGGAAACAGCCAAATAAGTAATCAGTTAAATAATTATATTAAGGAAATACTTACAATTACGATCGATAAATATCCAATTAACGAACGTCTTTAACGATATCACCATAAACAGTTGATTCTTACGGAACAAACACAATGTCGATAAGAATTAAATCATTCCTTAGCAACGGGAAGTAACTATTTTATTTTTATTTAAAAATTTTATTTTTTTATTATCTTACTTTTAATTATAACGTAAATTAAATAGAATTTCGTAGGAACTTGTTTCCGAATATTTTTAAATATAATTTCTATAAAATTATTGTTGAATACTTTTACAAAAATCAATTTATTTCCTGTTGTAGGCCACTATTCACAATTTCTGTTGATTTCGGATAGAAGATGAAATTATCATCTTCTATCCGAAATCAACAGAATATTGATGGAAAACAATCCTCGATGATCCGTAACAAAGTAATTTACAACACTCCAAAAATTCCATCAAATACCATATAAATTATAATTTCCGAATTTTCGGAAGAAGTAATAATTAACTTAAGGACATACTTAAGTTTTTTTGGTCAATAAAACAGAGGATTTAAAAGTAAAACTGTCCACTAATTGCTTAATCTTCAGATCGGAAAAAAATACCCAAAAATGAATTAAAAATAGTTATTTGCTTTTTTGAATCTGATGTCTTAATTTTCTATGTATTACATTACACTCTTTCTTTAAAAGATCTATTTCATATGAGGATTTCTCGTCTTCTCGAACTATCCACAAGTTTTTTCTCTTCAGTTTACGTTGTTTATTTAGAGTAAGTCGCCGGATCGATGATAGTCGAAAACGAATCGTGAGTCACCGCCGGCATCACTGATTAGCGCCTAATTTTTTCACTGGCACGGCTGGTGGTTGCTTAGTAAAATTCGGCCCTCAAAGCTGGGGTAGACGAGATTCGGCTGTCTAAATAAATGATGGAAACAAGATGGGAAATGTCCGAAGGAGTAAACGCTTGGCGATATATACGGGTCAAAGGCAAACTCGCTTGACAGAGAAGGGTTAGTGACCATTTAATATAGGACTGGTAATGTCGCTACGATAGAAAGTCAGTTCCGGTTACGTTTTAAAGGAAAAGTGGAAAGGGCTAAAAGTCCCTCTAGAGAGGTGAGAGAGGTTGTGGGAGATTGTCCTCGCTCGCAAGCAGTGTGCGAGAGGAACGAATCCAGTTTCTGAATAAAGAAAAGTAATGGGTGTTGTAGCACTTCAGTGCCATCCGGAAAGTAACGTTTAGGACTCTCTCGATGAGGAGGACGTGGCAGGGAGAATCCCTTTCCGAGAGCGATGCACCGAATTCTGCGCTTAGGCATAACACTGAGTAAACCAAACCGAGCAAATTTTTTATCCCGGACTATTTTGCCTGAATGAAAAGAATTTTTTGAAGGATCCCTGCTCAAAGGGCTAGTTCGGAGCGAAAGAAACTCCCGTGGGTAGTCCACGTGAAGGCTGATTAGAAATGGACGTCAAGGATACTAAGGGTTGTTTCTCGAGGAATCATTCCCGTTTTATCAATAACTACAAAGACCTCGGTGAGGGTCGTAGTTTCGGAGAGAAGTCGAAGACTGCGCTTTTTCCGGCCGGAAACGTCAAACTCCACTTTGCAGCCTGCGACCGAATGGCTGCCCGAATCCGATTTATTCTTATGGGTAGAATGGGGTGTGGGGTGGAGACTTTCTAACAAACTCAAAAGGTGAGGTGGAAAAGTAAGGATCGCAGCCACCGTAACGTTGCGCCAACAATTTCCAGCGCGAACAATTTGATCATAAGCCCAGCTTGGCGGACAGAGTCGTACGGTTCTTCTGGGTGGAGTACAGTGACGTAAACCCAGTGGTATTTTGCACGCTCTATTTCTACGTGACTACCATTTCGGACGTTGGGTGGAACGGGCCCTCTGTGAATGTTCCCTGACTGGGTGGGAATCGGTTCGTCAGTCCATCTCTGAAATGTTGCTGTCTGTGTCAAACGTGGCCGGTGTGGAGTGTGGGCCAGGTTCTCGCTCCTCGTTTCAAGACATCCAGTAATCGGAAGACTAGAATCCCTTTGACGGTTTATATCTTTAGAATCTCCTCAGGACACTGTGGGTCGTGAGACGATTCTAGTCTAGAAGGACTTGTGTGTGTAGGCAAATGAAATACATTTTTATAATAAAAATGTTTGTATTATTTTTCCGAAGCTCTTTGTTTGTATCCACTCTGTCTTCCACTGCTATTCAAACCCCAGTTGTAAACATTGGTATTATTCTACAAATTACATTTATCATCTAGAAAATGACTATTTCACTAAAACTAAAAAACCCTCCTAACCACGACCTTTTTTCGGATAAGATCTCGGGTTCCTCAGAGCAGTAG